GTTTCTTTTAACTCTATTAACGTTATCTTATCCAAAGATTAATACAACATGTTAGTTTAATTGTAAACATTAATTTTAGGTGTAATGGCTCTAAAAATAAAATACAACTTTGTATATGCAACTTGTAGAATGTTAATTAATAAAATTACTTATATTATATAAGTTATATAACAAATGTAAAATTGGTTGCATTTTATGCAATTCATCTCGCTGTATAATGTTTAGTTCAATTAATACTGATACATGTATGTTTTCATAATAAACTTTATTAAAATTTATTAAATTGTTGATTCATTAAATAAATACATTTACACAATTAATTGCAAATTATTAAAACAGGTATATTAATAAACAAAGTCAAAATTTGTTTAGGTGTTTGTATATTAGATTATAACTAAACTAGATGTTTACTGTTGAGTCTAACATTATTATAAGTATTTTATACTAAAATTTAATAGCACCAATGTCGGATTGTTTTAAAATAGCCGATCGATTCAAAGCGTTTGAACCGAGTTTCTTGTAAATATATAATTGAAATTTTAATAAAATATTGTAATTAATTACAAAATATTTAATAATCATTAATTTTAGTAAAGAAATAGCGGAGATGGTGGAACGCAATAAACCCATCAACCTGGGTGTTTCTGTACCAGACTTTGATGCCTATCCCCAAACAATAATTGAAGCGATGCGTGATATTGTACTTGATGAAAATACAACCATGCATCAAATGACAAAGATCACGGTCAGTCTAATATCATGATTTCCTTACAAAGGAGTTTATGAATTTTAAACAATAATCCAGATCTATTACCAGTTATATTAAATTACTAAAAAGTACGAAAAGTGCGAAAACTAATTGTTCTAGTAAGTTAGGTTATACAGGTTATACTGCACATAGTACATGTATATGCAATGCACTGTACTATAGAATACTTTTTGTAGCACCATGAGAGACATTATATATTTTTGTATAACATCAGCTGTTAATTCTGTATTAAACAAATATAATATATTTAACTCGTTCACCAGGGTCACCCACGATTAGTTAATGTACTAGCTAAACTGTACTCACAATTACTAAACAATAAAGTGACCGGGGACAACATCCTGATCACATGCGGGGCGTTTGAAGCGCTGTATTGCGCTATACATAGCATAATTAACCATGGTGATGAGGCCATTATCATAGACCCGGCGTACGACGAGTTCGAGGTACTGGTGAAGGGCGCGGGCGGAGTACCGGTGCACACGTGCCTCAAACGCACTGGCGATGGCACCGATTGGCAATTGGATCTAGATGATCTCGAGGCCAAAATCACCGACAGGACCCGCGTTATCATTATTAACACACCACACAATCCAACCGGAAAAGTACAGTCACAGCCAGTTTTGTTTTGCTATTCAATTAACATTACATTTTTTTGTTTGAAAATACTGTTTATTCATTATTATTGTTATTTATTATTGAAAGCTATTGACGAGATTAGAGTTGGAAGCAATCGGACAGTTGTGTCTCAAACACAATTTTATTGCCGTATCGGACGAAGTGTTTGAATGGCTTACCTATGATGGCCGCACTCATCACCGCATAGGTATCCTATTATTACTAACACAATACCCAAACTTTAACCCCCTGGTGCGTTACACCATGTACTTTATTCACTAGCCTCGCTGCCGGGAATGTACGACCGGTGCGTAACCATCGGCAGTTTGGGCAAAGCGTGTCACGTGACAGGTTGGCGGTGCGGTTGGGCCATAGCTGGCAACCCAGTGGTACGTATGGGACTGGTTATGGCGCACATGTCGTGCGCCAACTCTATGCCCACAATCATTCAAGAGGCCGCCGCCCGTTTCTTCGAGCTCGAGCTGCCCCGACTCGGCACCGGCCACAGCCCGTCCCCGACCGACAACTATTGGTCACAAGTGACACAAATGTTGGACAAAAAGCGACACACAATGTATGGCATGCTATTGGCGGCGGGTTTGACTCCGATGCTACCTGAGGGGGGTTTTACCATGTTGGCCGATTGCACCAAGCTCATCGATCGGCTCGATTTGACCGAATACGCCGATCCTAAGGGCAAAACCGTAGCGTTTGTCCGCTGGCTGTCGGCGCG